CTTGGCAGATGCCTCAAATGGGTACAGAGATACTCTAAACAACTTTATTTGATTATGCATTATTTTGTCTGACGTCACCATTCAACATTTACTTTGTTATTTAATATTTTAGATGCAAATTAATATCTTCAGAATATTATTGGATTTTACGAACATTTATTTACATTTATAGACATTGGTCATCCTGATCCCCTATGGACCAATGGTTCAAGGTGTTTGTTAAAGTTACATTTCCTGTGTTCAAACTGTCTGATTCTTCTATCAGTTATTGGAGAATCGACACATTTGTAAAGACCCCCTGGAGGACCACGGTTGGGATTTAGGGCTATACAAAAATGTATTAGTAAATAAATTGAATGGAGTAAAAAATACATGGAGGATCAAGTATGAAGGGTAACACGGGTTTGTCTTTTATCTAATTTGAAAATTACCTTCTGCAAACACAGCCATGCTATTACAAAGTACAACAATTCTCGTGAGAAACTCCCAAAGCTAACTACTAGAAGTTTCTGATATTAGTGCGTATGGTCTAAATACAACTCCAGGAGAACATTGTTACAACATGGTTAAGAGCTCAAAAGTCAATTTGGCAGAATACGTCTCCTTATAGTCATAAGTCAACTACAGCACTATGCAGTAATAATGACGTTATGCTGTACTTGCTCCTTCCCCCTTTCTTATTCCATTCTTAGTCAATGTTGAGACAAAAGCTGCTCAATGCCAGCACAGAGCACCGCATTTGAGCACAGCACCTTCCAACACCTTTCCTAAACTGGGTCAGCTACCTATGCAGTGATCAATTCTTCCCCCAGCTTCCCAAACACCTCAAAACCCAGACTCCAAAGGCCCATCTTCTTTTAACGGTGGTGTGTGAATCAAAGATAGAAGAGATACATTGATCTATTCAGGAATCAATACTGTGCACGTCTCAATGCATTTTGGATTAAGCTTCATTGAGCTGGGTTTGCATCAGAAATGTATTGGGAGTTCTCTAAACATGCACCCCCACCAAAAGCATCTCCAAATATAGACCATTGTCACTCTGGACTCAGCAGCAGTCCCCAGTGAATAGATGCAGGAACTATCGGAGGTGGTAGAGAGAGGTGGAATGCAAAATGAGATCATACGAAAAGATCTTGTCGTCTGTACAAGAATGTGGATCACGCCAAGATAAGAAATTCAAGCTTAACACGTACAGGTAAAGCTCTTTTTGTCTATCCTCCTGTATTTCACGGAGGAGGACTGTTTTGTTTGACTGTTTTATCAGAATACCTCTACTACAAAATGTCGCCTACTAGAACACAAACTTTTTTTTTGAGAAATCCTGGGACATATTCTGGGTTCCAAAGCAATACAAACCATCCCTACATGGTTTCTGCAGTGATATTGACGTTGTAGTTGGCTTTCACAGCACTGCATAAATGATAAAGTGATATATATTTTAGCAAGCTTGGGTATGACCTCTTGTCCGTGAAATGATGTTGTTATTGGGAGTTAACGTTGACTATGAGATGGCCAGCGGAGGTTGATGAGGCTCCATAGGTGTGTAACCACTGACCCCATACACTGCAGTAGTTTTACGGCTGGATCGATCTTTCAGGCCTCCTCCCTATCCTCCCTCTGCCTCATTATCTTCCACTGTCTTGTCCTTCTACTGCTGTCCTCAGTGACAAAGGGAATTGTGTCTAGTTTGCTGTCGGACAAACCTGATACACAGTTTGATGAGGGAAACAACCAGGCCAAGGCAGTGGATGGGAAAAAAATCACAAACACAATCTTGGTGATATAGTCTATCTAAAGGTACGCAATGAAGGATTTTGGGTAAATAATGGATTATTCTCCAAATCCATGCCTGTAGATACTGTAAGTCACTGCTGAGACTTCTGAACAGTCTGCCACAAGATCCTGCACTGGGAGAGAAAACCTCCTCAAAGTTGTGTGTATGTGTGCATGTGTGTGTCGCATGATGTTTTCGGGAAACATGTGCTGCTACTGAAAATCTTCTAAAACGCCCCATTCGCATAAAAACAGATCCTCCCTGGCACTTTCACTGTGTGGGAATTTATATGAATGCGTCACAGGATTTTTGGGTGGCAGTCAATTAATGAACTTATTTTGACTCCAAGTGTTGGTAGAGATGGGACGCACACTTATTGTCATTGTCATTTATTATTTCCCATAATCCTGATCGATCAAAGTTAATAAGCAACTAAGGTGAGTCTTCACAGTGTAATATGTTCAAAATGTCCAGATAAGACATGTATTTGAGTGGATATTTGGACACAGCTATTGTTTTATTTTTTCTATCAGCTGTCAGCTCTGGAAGCATACATTCCAAACATTCATGCTTCCTGGTATGTTTATGTGAACAGTGCAGAGAGAGCCGATATGGTGAAATGTTTCAGAAATATTCGGGACTTCTTTTTATGTGAAAAAGGTTATTGTGTGTGCATAATGGGGATCGTTCACTGGAGGTTTTGTGAATAGGACCATAGATTTTCAAATCATGTACAAACGACTTTCTTTCATGACATTTTCCTCCAGTTTCTCTGATATTTCTATTGAACTATCCATGTTGCATACTTGAACAGAAAATGTGGTTACTCTGCCCAAATACCTCAAGCTGAGTCTTTCAAGGTGGCTCGGAACACCCTGCTATCTCTTTCTTTATCTCTATTAGCATAACAAATTAGTTTTAAATTAAATTTACCTGAACTGTTGTCACTCTGCAGGTGAAGAACAAATTAACAAAATGACACGCTGGTTAATGTGATGGATCAATTACTTCATCGTCTGATTTAAAATAGCCGGACTGCCCGGAGAATATGTAAAAAGACATTAGCCCAGTCCTGCCCAGCTCTATAATTGAGTGTTGGCCACATTACGGCACACGGTTAATTCTTATGTGGAGCAGACATCCAGCCGCAGAGTGCCTTCAAAAAGCCACCCGCATGTGTCCGATCTCTATAAGTGCACACATCGAGCTGTTGACCCCAGCAGGGCATCACAGATAATGAGGTTCAACGTTCTATTTCATCTTTCTCAATAAGGGGGTGCACGCCACACGCCCGGGGCCATAGGGTCAATGAAAGCACGGCAGCCTGAAAACAGATTACACAATACGGCCGAGCAGGTAATTATCAAGACAATCATAAATCGAAAGAGAAGCAGTGGAGTTTCCCTACTTTAGCATTGTGCCGACTGAATTTAGTGGGCATCGAAAGAAATTGGGTTTTTGCCATTAAGGCTAAATCTTCTTGGCTGCTCACCTGTACTGAAGCAAGACAAATGTGGACCACTATATAGTATACAAACAGAGACTCTTAACAAAAGAAAAACACAAAGCAATATACCGCTAACCCGCTGCAGAAGTCCAGTTAATTTACAACCAGATGAAATGGCAAGGTTTTTCACATGAACCAACATAAATAGAAGCACCTAATTAAAATGGACAGAAATCACTGCAGTGACTAATACAATTGTACACAAAGCAAACATACATAAACGTTCAAACTCACTCGTACAACGGCTATGCAATGCCAAGTTAATTGTCTCCCATAGAAAGCCAAGAGGTCCTCATTACTTCACTATTTTTAGCACTGATCTCACAGTTTGTTAAAGCTCATTAGCTACATTAAAGACTTAAAGTTTTTGAAGTAGTGCCACTTAATATGCTAACCCTGGTTTGGCGTGTGACTAGACCTGGCAGTTTTGCATGAGAACCTATAGTAGGACTAACACTGGGAACATGTCACGGCTGGCTAGGTGAGAATTGAATCCAGCCACTTGAATCCGATAAAGGTCCCATGCAGACAGAGCGATCCACTGATGTTTTGTTCAGCCTAATTGAGCGTTGTCCCTTCAACTTAGCTTAACATCTTCATCATGTCTCTAATAGCCTCCTCTTCTAATTACTGCACGGGCCAAGTTACAGCAGGGAGGTATCAAACTTGAGATAGCGGCAAAAAATGAAGGCTGCTATCGATCTTTATGATGCATCGGCTCCCTTTTTTCCTCATTTTGGTGAGGTAAAGGAGTCTACAACGATATAAATGCCCTAGTTAGGTTGAGAAGATGGAGGAAACGAATTGAATGAGTGGACTGCGTAGTTTTTCCACCTCCTTGTCCTTGTCCATGCAACATTTTATTCACTAAGTTTGCTTTTGTAGATTTAATTTGTATCTGAACAGGTAATGATTTCCGACCTGGAGTCCTACATTTGAACGATTAATATTGACAGTCATGCTTGTGGAACAGATTAGAAACAGAAGTCTTAGATAGTCTTTTGGTTGTAGAGGATGTTTTGTTCTACTATATAGCAGAATGTTAATCTAATTAAAGGGATCATTATTATATCTCATGAACAACTTAATCTTACTATTGATCTATAAGGATTTCATTAAAGCACTTATTAAACAATTACGTTTGCTGACCTCCGTTTTGAAAATGACCATGTTACCACTGTAATAACATCTTCCATCAAATGCCAATGTCCAGACAGCAGATCTTTTTCATTCTTATCTAAAGGCTTGACCAACCTTTTTCGATGAACAAAATGAATAATAAGAAAACAGTGGCGATGAACCAACACAACTCAATTTTAGAAAGAAGATTAGAAAGAAGATGACAAAGATTAGGTTCACTGGCTCTAAACAACTGTGATTCTGTGTATTTGAAATGATACTGTTTGAAAAGTACATTTCCCGTATTAATCCTAGCCAACATCATGCATGTTTGTTGAATATTGTCCTTACTCGAATGGCCTCTTGATTGCAGAAGAGTATTGTCTAATATCAAACATGCACAAATCACTGCAAAAATCACTCTTTTGGTTTTGTTCACACTACTCGATCAAGTGGACTCTGACTCCGGCCCTTACTCCCTAAATGGAATGTTACTACTCTATCACAACTGCCCTGCAAGTCGTACTTCTGGATTCTTAAGGTGCAGGTGAAATGTCCTCTTTACTCCACAAGAAGCCGATACACAGCACGCCTCACCTGCAGAGTGAGTCCAGCCGACAGACCCGCTGCAGCTCCAGACAGTTGGGCTTGACCTTATCCTTGTAGGAGCAGTCCGGGACGATGGTATGTCTGCGCCGCTCTGCACAGCCCTCTGTCTGACAGGGGCAGAAGAGCAGGCGCTGGCTGTACTCGGCTGGGACCCGGTCCAGGAAGACGCGCAGGGCTTTGTGGCAGCGCTTCTTGTTGCACGTGTCACCTTTAGGATCCTCTTTGCTGCACGTGGCGATGTAGGCCGAGCGGTGCTTCTTGCAGTTGCTGTTGAGGTTGCAGTCTTTGGCAGCGTTCAGACATGGGTTACAGGTCCTGTCCGCCTCAGGGCAGAAAGAGCCTTTAGGGGCCACCGTGAGCATCCCTGTTACAAAACAAACAAATCATAACAGAAATCAAATTCTGTTCATAACTGGGATAGAAAGCTACATTAATAACTGTATTTGATTAAATGAAACGAAATCTATGTGTTGGCCTTCGGACTCGACATCATCAATCTGATAAGATTTGCAGTGGACTTAGCTGCACAGAAAGATCAATAAAACAATAATCCTAACGTCTGAGCCACTGAGCCAGAGGCAGAGAGCATTGTAAATGTGAGAACACTGGCGCACTGGAGAATGCAGTAGATTCTTCAATACCTCGTACATGTGTACTATATGCTTTCTTCAACAAACAAACTGTGTGTCACCAGAGAAAAGCCTGCTCCCCTCATAGACAACTCCATTATTATTGTTTTTCTGTCTTTCTGCACTTGCGCTTTGCAACAACTTCATTTGTTTTTCCAATAAAGTATTCCATTATATAGTACATTTTGTTTGGGCAATGATTTAAAAATGTAGCTTCACTAAATGAATACATGGCAACACTGTTGATTATCTAAGCTATAATTATACATTACTCATACATACATATACATTGACAGCCCTAATTGGAATCATTTTATATATATAAAATGATTCCGTACGAGAAATGATATTTCATGCACCAATTGACTGCTTCACTCAGATAAACACTTTGAATCGGTCAAATGCACTTTGACTGAAAAGATGAAGTAGAAAATTGAGTCTTACTCCAAAGTAATCACAAACTCTGGGCACATCATGTTTGCAGCAAATAATTGATGTGTTTGGACGTTACTTGAGCTGTACACAAGCCTCTCTTTCTCACATGAATCAGTAATAGACTTCTATTCACTAGCGGCAGCCTTTCTAGTGTTCCACTGTTATTAGAGAACTTAACCTCCCCACCCAGAGGATAATGATATTTCAGAGGTCGTGAAGCCACAGTGACATGGACTGAAATTCATTTCTTATTCAACACATCCAATCTCAGAGTGTGTCTATCAGCTGCAGCTGGACAACACCATTTATCCTGAGCGCTGAGCCAGAGGTGCACAGGCTGCTTCCAACACGCACACGGCATTATCAATCCTGGAAATGGCTCTGCATGAAACAACCACATGCACAACCAATATGCAAACTGGACACTGATCTTTTGACTTTCAATTGTAGTGCATTAAAGCTGGAGTGCCTCTTTTCTGTTTCATACATTTTGTAACATTTTGTGAACAAATTAGACCACAGCTGTCTTTATCTTATTAGAAACACACACACACACGCGCACACACGCACGCACGCACGCACGCACGCACGCACGCACGCACGCACGCACGCACACACACACACACACACACACACACACACACACACACGTGTGACACTTCCACATGTGAAAGCCTGATCCTGGCATCTGGGTAGAACTGTGATGGGATACCTTTGGGAACACCAGTCAAGGGCGTAGGTTTGCGTGGGGACCATGGGGACATGTCCCCACCAATATTTGGTGAGGACTAATAAGTCCCCACCAAAATGACATGATGTCCCGTGACCCGGACGGTCCGGGACACATGTCTTCCGTTTGTGCATACGTCGCGCCTCCTCCTCGCCTCCAGAGCAACAGCAGCAGCAGCAGCACGTGACCCGTTCCGTTCTCTGCTGTGATTGGCTGTCTTCTTCAGCGCCAAACTGAAGCACTGAGCGACTGTTTAATTTTTTAAAGTTAGCCAGCGTGAAGCAAGTGTTTTTTTTCGTTCCCTGAGCGTTGTAGCACGTGAGTAATCAGAGGAAAGTACTGTAGATCTATTACCATTCAACGTACTTACGTTATTTCTAATCTGTCAGCGCACTGTTTAATGTTCCGAGGAGCTCACACGGCACAGACACAGAACAGAACTGGCTCCAATAAAGAAACAGGTTGGTTGAAAGGCTGAAAAAATACTTATTGTGCTCTTACTATCCAAAATGTATAAGTGGGTGTGTTGTGTGAATCAGGATAAACTAGGGATGAAAATATTCCACGGATCCACGATTTACAACCTTTATCTGCTGATAATGTGATTTCTGTGAAATGTGTGACAGCGGGCACTTGCTGTTATTTGCTCTAAGCACATTCAAGAGATGCACTCGAATGTGCACGTCCTGGTGCAGCTGCTGCCGCTTTGTAATGACAGCCGCGGCGCTCAGTGAAAGCACAGCTCTAACATGGTACCGAGCTCGGACCATATGCAGACAGAACCATGTTGCAAGTGCGGGTCTCCCTCGTATCTCCCCCGTTTCTCCCCTGTGTCTCTGACATGTCTCTCCCCTGACTCTTCCCAAAGCGCAACCAGCGCTCCCGAAATTAAAGCTCGGATACCTAAATTTTCCATTGCGTTAAGGATGCATGCTGGTTGTGCGCAAAACACACCACAACAGGTCATTTAAGTTTTTATTTTGCATACTTGAGAGCCCTGTGAGTCGTTACTTGCCTTTTTGGGTAGAGAGTGTAATAAAAAAAAGAAAATATAGAAAAATCCACACTGTTACTTATTGCCAAACTCTTGTTAACTCATTGTATTGAGAAATACTATGTAACTTTTGACATTGGCCAAGTTATATAAATGATTCTGCAGTTCATGTATATGAATGTCTGTTTTTGATTGTCTATACCTTCTTATATAATTTAGAAAAAATGCCACCTCCACAAATAAGATAAAAGATATCAGGAGCTTTTTTAACAGTTGGAAAGTAAGTAAGAGAAAGCACAAGTAATAGCAAATTATGAATTGTGATGATTAATCTTCTGTTAACATACATAACTGCTTCTCATTCAGTCTACAGCTGAGTTTAGTATAGAAGGCAACACACTATTGCAAATATAGTGTGTGATTACACAACAAATTCTGGGGGAGAAACTCTGGACCCCGTGTCAATGGGTGTAGACTCAGGTCGTAGTGAATGTCCCCACCAAGATTGGAACCAAACCTACACCATTGACACCAGTTACCACAGTATGTAACTCATAGTTATTCTATATAGTGCATTTCACAGACCAAGGTCACACAGAGAGCGCTTTACAGTGTTTTTGTGCAGTGGAGAAGCTGTGGCTGTAAAGTGAACTGTTATTGTGTCCTGAGGCAATTCACTTCACCCACACTGCGTCATGTGAGTCTGGTGGGTGAGCCAATTATTGGTGTTGGTCGGAGGAGCTGATGGCACAGACTAGTTGCCTCGTTGCTTCTGTCAGTTTGCCACTATTGTAGCCACAGCTGCCCTGGGGCACACTGGTAGTTACAACCATGTACGGGATGAATGGATAATGCCATGTGAAGAGTCTTTGAGTGTCCACAAAGAGTCACATATAATTCATATTATTACTAGTGATAGAACCAGTTTGTGTGCGAGGAACTAGTTTCATAGATATAGATGTATTACATGTTTTGGTTTCAATGTTAGGTTCTCTCTCTCTCTCTCTCTTTTAGATGTAGTGGCCGGGTTACAGTTAATACCTCCAACTAATGATTTTAACCACTGATTCTTGAAAAATAGCAACGCCACCCTATATTTTAATAGGGAAACTCACAAGGACGCACACGTCCGTGATTGAGTGGACCAAGAGACGCAGATAAGAAAATGATTCAATTTATTCACAATAACGTTGGAGATACACTTTTACAAAAAAGGTTTTGGTTCTTTTAAAATGAGCTCTACACAATTATTTAATTAATAACATTAGTGAAAGATTAAAACATTATCCCAAAACGTTATCACCTTATCCCAAAATACATCAAACATTCAAAACATCATCCCCAAATGCAAACTCCCACCGTACTGTCCTACCGGAGGCTCGCGCTGGTCCGCACAGTGACTGGCCTGGCGCGCGCGTCAGCGCGCACGCTGGTATAGCTCGGCAGCTGTCCGGTCCGTCCGAGTCCCAGTCCCGTCCGAGTCCTAGTCCAGTCCGGGTCAAGTCAACCGTTGAGAGGACAGGGGCCCGCGGACTGGGTGCACTCTGGCCAGTACCAGCCGCTGGCTCAAATGTGAGAGGAGAGGAGCGGATGAAGAGGGTGAAGGAGAGACCCGCTTGGAATACGGTCCCAAATTAAAACGCTTCAGTGGCACCGTACTGCAACTTACAGACCATTGGAATGGTTTGACCCGAAGCCAAACGGAGTTGAGCACAGCCACAGTGCCACAGGCTGGTGCACCTGTTGTGCGTAAGCACTTGCCTGACGCTGCGCACGGGGCTGTTTGGTGGAGTGGCCTGCAGCATGAGCCACAAGATTAGAGCCAAGCCATACGTTGCACTGTGTAATGCGAATGAAGAGCAAGTGATGCTGGATTCAACTGCGAAATACAGATCTGGCGAGGCTCCAGCTCATGCTGCTGCAAGCTCCCAGGCAGTGGGTAACGTCAGAGGCAAGAGGGAGCGCAGGTGCGCTAACTACCTATTAAAGGGTGAGGCGGTACGCGATAGGCTCAAGGGGCCTACCACCACATAGACAAAGCATTTTGGCAGTAGCTCAGTTGGTAGAGCATTGGTCTTAAGGCCAGAAGGTCGTGGGTTCAATTCCCACCTCTGCACCTTCTCCATCGACTCCCACTGATGACTGCTGTTGTTGTGTCCTTGGGCAAGACACTTAACCCCACTTTGCCCAAAACCCCCACTGAAAGATCAAGGCTATGCTCACACTCAGAGAGCAGCCGTCCTCCTGTGGACTCACCACCTGCAGAGGGTCAGTGAGGGGCTGGTGCTATGAGACTTGGGTGGCATCTCTGACTGCCACCCCCCTGACCCAGAAATGGATTAAAGGGTAGACAATGGATGGATGGATTTTGTTTGAGAAAGATTTTGTTCTCATTCTTACTATTTGGTTTTCTTAAAAAAATATTGTAATTAGTTATTTAATTAGAATCACTGTTCCAGAAGCTCCATTACTAAGTCGTAAAAAACGCCTCGTTTCTCTCTCATCTCAATAAGGTGTTTTAAATCTGTGTATTTCCAAGATGAATAGAATTTGCTGCCAGCTCAATATTCATCCGT